GGGGGATTTGGGGGTGCCCCTGGTTTGGGGGTGACCTGGTGGGGGGGGCACAGAAGGGTTTGGGGTGTCTCAGTTTTGGGGTGACCTGGGCAGGGCGCAGGCGGTGCCGTGGCTCCAGCTCCAGGAGGGTGGCGTCGGTGGCCGACAGGGCCAGGGTGGCCGCGGGGGCCCCCGGCAGCGTCACCTTCCCCGTCACCTTCAGCGGTGTCTGGGGGCGCAGGGGGGACCCCCGCCGCCCCACTTCCACCCGCACCTGCCACGCACCATCAGACCTGTGCTCCCAGCGTGCCCAGTGCTCCCAGTGCCCTCCCAGTGCTTCCAGTGCCACCACCGCCCTCCCAGTCTGCCCAGTACCCCCAGTGCTCCCAGTGCACCCAGTCTGCCCAGTGGCCTCCCAGTGCTTCCGGTGCCACCAGTGCCCTCCCAGTGCCTTCAGTCTGCCCAGTACCCAAAGTGCTCCCAGTGCACCCAGTCTGCCCAGTGCCTTCCCAGTGCTCCCAGTGCTGCCAGTGCTACCAGTGCCCTCCCAGTCCCCTCCCAGTGCGTCCAGTGCCCCCAGTCTGCACAGTAACCCCCTTCCAGTGCCACCACCGCCCTCCCAGTCTGCCCAGTACCCCCAGTGCTCCCAGTGCACCCAGTCTGCCCAGTGCCTTCCCAGTGCTCCCAGTGCTGCCAGTGCTACCAGTGCCCTCCCAGTCCCCTCCCAGTGCGTCCAGTGCCCCCAGTCTGCACAGTAACCCCCAGCGCTCCCAGTGCACCCAGTCTGCCCTGTGCCCTCCCAGTGCTCCTAGTGCTCCCAGTGCCCCCCCACCCTGTCCCCCCAGTGCTCCCCGTGTCCCCATTGTGCCCAGTGCCCTCCCAGTGCTCCCAGGCTGCCCAGTGCATCCAGTGCTCCCAGTCCTCCCAGTCCCCCCCCGTGCTCCTGCTCCCCTGAGTATCCCCATTGCCCCCAGTTCTCCCAGTCCCCCCAGTGCCGCACCTGGCTGTGGCAGGAGCTCACCACGGGCACTGCCCAGCTGGCAGCCACCAGCTGCCCCTCGGCCTGGAAGAAGGCCACCAGCCGGAGCCGTGGGGCCATGGCCGGGGTCACCGGCAGCGTCACCTCCGTCACCGTCCCCCGACGCACTCCCCGAGCAGCCACCAGCCGCCCCCGCGCCACCGCCTGCACCACAACACGGGGACACGGGACATGACATGCACATGTAACGTGCGGGTGGGATGTGACACGCTCCCGGGACACATGACATGCAGTATGGACATACAACACACAACGTGACACACACGTGCAACATGCGATGTGCATGCAGGACACAGCATGCTCATGGAACATGCAACATGCACACTCAACACGCAACTCACACCCCCAAGATGCAACATAACACACAACATGCACATCTGACACGCAATACACAACATACAACATCCCATATGCACATGTGACACGTGATGGGCACATGGGACGGGGTATGCTCACGGGACGTGCAACACACAGTCTGCACATACAATACACAGCATACAACACATTGTGCAACAAGCAACACAACACGACATGCACATTCAACACGCATCTGCACACAGGACATGGCATGCTCATGGAACATGCAGCCCACAACATGCATGCGTAAGACAGGACACAACATACAGCGCACACACCTGAAATGTGACACATGACATGCAACACCCAACATGCACATGTGACACGCAATGTGCACACAGGAGAAAACATACACACCCAACATGCAGCACACAACATGCACACAGGACATGGCATGCACAGAAAACATATAACATGCAAATGCAACATGACCTGCAACATGCAACATGCACATGTGACATGCAATGCCTGACAGGCACACACAACATGCCACACATGATCTGCGAGATGCAATGTGCCCATGGGACATGCTATTCCCACACAACACAGGACATGCAACATACATGTAACATGTACCACAATGTGCACATGAACACGCAACGCACACATGGCACATGAGAGGCACATTCAGTGGAATATGCACACATGATGCATCCGTGCAACATGCAACACATGACATGCAACACATGACACACAGTAAATGTGCACACACAAATACAACACCCCCTTGTCACGTGCAGATAGGACATGACATGCACATGACACACATGACGTGACACAGGGCATGTGACATGCACGTGGGACGATGTGCCCAGACGTGTAGCATGCACACGTGACACCCACACATGACACACCATCCTCACTGGACGTGGCATGTGCACGGAACATGCAGACTGCACATGTGACATTATGCACAACACCCCACGTGCACACACAACGTGCAATGTGCTACACGTGACACGCAACATGCACTGCCCACCTATTGCATGCGACACGTGACATCTTCGTGCCCCCACGCAACACGTGACATGCCCCAGGCATAGACAGGACGTGTGACATGGGACGTGTGACATGGGATGGGCCTGGGGGGGCTTCAGGGGGTCGTGGGGGTGCCCCAAGGGGTCCTCAAGGGGTCCCCAGGGCGTCAGGAGTCGCAGGAGGGTTGTTGGGGTCCCCGGGGGTCTCACCAGCAGGTGGTAGATGTGGGGGGCCGGGGGGGGGCCCACATCACGCAGCTGCAGCCGCAGCAGATCTCCGGGGCGCAGGGGTCCCCCTGGACCCTCCAACAGCAGGAACCGCCCCGAGACTGGGGCCACCGGTGTCACCGTCATCTGTGCCCGCACCGGGGGGGACCCCGGGGACCCCGCCTCCACCTGCCCCCCGGGAGAGGGGACACTTTAGCACGCATGTCCACATGTCCCCCCCTGTCGCCCCATATCCCCCATGTCCCCCATGTCCCTCCATGTTTCCACATGCTTCTCAAGTCCCCATGTCCATGTCCTCATGTCCTTCCATATCCCCCCATGTCC